AGTTGTCGATAACAACTGTTCCGCCGAGAAAAGTTGTCGATAACAACTGTTCCGCCGAGAAAAGTTGTCGATAACAACTTTTCCGCCTTGAAAAGTTGTCGATAACAACTGTTCCGCCGAGAAAAGTTGTCGATAACAACTGTTCCGCCTTGAAAAGTTGTCGATAACAACTGCTCCGCCGAGAAAAGTTGTCGATAACAACTGTTCCGCCTAGAAAAGTTGTCGATAACAACTTTTCTGTATAGAAAAGTTGTCGATAACAACTTTTCTGTATAGAAAAGTTGTCGATAACAACTTTTCTGTATAGATAACAACTTTTCTGTATAGATAACAACTTTTCTGTATAGAAAGGTTATCGATAACAACTTTTCAATATAGAAAAGTTATCGATAATAACATTTCCGACTAGAAAAGTTATCGATAATAACTTTTCTGTATAGAAAAGTTGTCGATAACAACATTTTTGTATAAAAAAATTGTCGATCACAACTTTTCTGCATAGAAAAGTTGTCGATAACAAACTTTTCTGCATAGAAAAGTTGTCGATAACAAACTTTTCTGCATAGAAAAGTTGCCGATAACAACTTTTCTGTATAGAAAGGTTATCGATAACAACTTTTCAATATAGAAAAGTTATCGATAATAACATTTCCGACTAGAAAAGTTATCGATAATAACTTTTCTGTATAGAAAAGTTGTCGATAACAAACTTTTATGCATAGAAAAGTTGCCGATAACAACTTTTCTGTATAGAAAGGTTATCGATAACAACTTTTCAATATAGAAAAGTTATCGATAATAACTTATCTGTATAGAAAAGTTGTCGATAACAACTTTTCTGTATAGAAAAGTTGTCGAAAACAACTTTTCCGCATAGAAAAGTTTTCCCCATAGAAAAGTTGTCGATAACAACTTTTCCCGATAGAAAAGTTGCCGATAACAACTTTTCCGCCTAGAAAAATTGTCGATAACAACTTTTCCGCCTAGAAGAATTGTCGATAACAACTTTTCCCCATAGAAAAGTTGTCGATAACAACTGTTCCGCCTTGTCGATAACAACTCTTTCGCATAGAAAAGTTATCGATAACAACTTTTTCATATGGAAAAGTTGTCGATAACAACTTTTTCATATGGAAAAGTTGTCGATAACAACTTTTTCATATGGAAAAGTTGTCGATAACAACCTTTCCGCATAGAAAAGTTGTCGATAACAACTTTTCGGTATAGAAAAGTTGTCGATAACAACTGTTCCGTCTAGAAAAGTTGTCGATAACAACTGTTCCGTCTAAAAAAGTTGTCGATAACAACTGTTCCGTCTAGAAAAGTTGTCGGTAACAACTGTTCCATCTAGAAAAGTTGTCGATAACAACTGTTCCGTCTAGAAAAGTTGTCGATAACAACTGTTCCGTCTAGAAAAGTTGTCGATAACAACTGTTCTGTCTATAAACGTTGTCGATAACGACTTTTCCGCCTAGAAAAGTTGTCGATAACAACTTATCCGCCTAGAAAAGTTGTCGATAACAACATTTCCGCCTAGAAAAGTTGTCGATAACAATTTTTCTGCACAGAGAAGTTGTCGATAACATTTTTTCCGCCGAGAAAAGTTGTCGATAACAACTTTTCCGCCTAGAAAAGTGGTCGATATCAGCTCTTCCACATCTAAAACACTTTGTCGACAACTTACCCGCATACATCCCCTACCCTAGCACTAAATTACAAACTAAATTAAGTTCCTCCAAACGACTTCAATATCTAACCAATTGACATTCACATTTCAAACTAACCTGTAACCTTCCCGAAAATCACCTTGATTTTCTCACATTTTATTCTAAACATGATTGTGTTATGCCATTTTGAATAGTTCTCCAATCTCTATTTTTAAAAGAATCCAAATAAATGTTGTTAACCCAATTCTAGATAACAACATTTTGACCGCATTAAATTACCATGAATCCTCCAAGCCCAGCATGTTTCAGTTCTGTCCTTTTTTTTTTTTTTTTTTTTTTTTTTTTTGCTCTCCTGTTGTCTTTCTCGGTAAACCTATGCCCAAACAATGACTGCTGGATGTCCATGTTGGTGGTTTTCCACATTTGTCATGGCCCCACAGAGCGGAAAGGGGGAAACATAACAATGCAAAAACCAGATGTAAACAGAAACAAAATAGAAAACAAAAAACAAGTTGAATCTATGCAAAATACCATTAGAGGACCCAAAGGGCAGATAAACATTTTCCGCCACAACTTATTTACTTTGCCAAGGAAGGCAATGTTGCAGTTAACAATTCAGTTGTTTCCATTTTTTGTTTTACTGATTCCATAGTTGAGGAGGGGAGGTTTGGATACAAAAAAAATTAAACGCAACTATAGGTCCCTATTAAAGATACAGTTTTTGGGGCTTGAATTTCATGCCGCCCATATTTTAGTGTTGGTGAACAAATAATGACTAACTCATAAAGCTTCCCAGATGCCCTTAATGAATTGCATCACTTGAAATGAAACTCAGGGAAAATACCTTTATTCTACAAATTACAATTAACTATTTTTATCGCTCTCTCACAATAAGAGAATTACAACATCTCTATGAAGATGTGTTGTCGATAAGCAATGTCGTCGAGGGGAATGTTGTCTATAACGGTATTTCTACACAGCAAAGTCCAATGATGTTGATTTTTTCTTGGTTTTTCCAAACAGCTTGCCTAGAAAAAATAGTGTCATTATCATCTTGGAATGAGCATGTCAAAAAGTTATCAATAGCAACTGTTCTACACAGAAATATTTAATGTTATCGATAATACACCTGCCAAGAATACTTTACCTCTTTGAACGTCTTCCAATATATTAGTGAAAACAACAAAATTTTTGCATTTTTTTTTTGTTAATTATCTTTTAAATGTTTATTGAAATTAAGTTAAATATTATTTCGGATTTTTTTTACAATCATTTATCGAAATTATTACATATTATCATATTTTTATCAATTTAATTTGAATTAAATATTTTTAAAAGCCAATCATTATGTCAAGTTGGAGCTAAATATGAATGTAAGTTTATGCCATAAGTTGTAAGTATAATTATTATAATAATATTATTAGTTAAATTTAAAATTGTTAATATTTCATGATATTAGATTTGATTTAAGTACTATATTTTGACTAATTGTTACAATATTTTTATAGTACAAGGATACATTTTTGTGGGTTAAAAAGTTATAAAAATTTATAGATTTAAAGGGATTATTATTTTGATATTCCGTTCCGGAGTAAATGGTTATGTATTCTAATAAAGGTGCGCGGATAATGAATAAAGTCTAGGGTTGATATGTTTGGAGATTTAAGATTTTTCTATGTTGCAAAAAGAAGAGTTTTAGTTTGAAAAGTTGTCGATAACAAGTTTTCGGTATAGAAAAGTTGTCGATAACAACTTCACAGTAAAGAAATGTTGCCGATAACCACTTTTCGGTACAGAAAAGTTGTCGATAACAAGTTTTCGGGACAGAAAAGTTGTCGATAACAAGTTTTCGGTACAGAAAAGTTGTCGAAAACAAATTTTCGGTACAGAAAAGTTGTCGAAAACAAGTTTTCAGTACAGAAAAGTTGTCGATAACATGTTTTCGGTATAGAAAAGTTGTCGATAACAAGTTTTCGGTACGGAAAAGTTGTCGATAACAAGTTTTCGGAACAGAAAAGTTGTCGATAACAAGTTTTCGGTACGGAAAAGTTGTCGATAACAAGTTTTCGGAACAGAAAAGTTGTCGATAACAACGTTTCTGCATAGAAAAGTTATCGATAACAAGTTTTCTGCACAGAAAAGTTGTCGATAACAAGTTTTCTGCATAGAAAAGTTGTCGATAACAAGTTTTCTGCATAGAAAAGTTGTAGATAACAACTTTTCTGTGTAGAAAAGTGGTCGGTAACAACTTTTATGTATAGAAAAGTGGTCGATAACAACTTTTCCGCCTAGAAAAGCTGTCGATAACAACTCTTTTGCATAGAAAAGTTGTCGATAACAACTCTTTTGCATAGGAAAGTTGTCGATAACAACTCTTTTGCAAAGGAAAGTTGTCGATAACAACTCTTTTGCATAGAAAAGTTTTCCATAACAAGTTTTTCGCCTAGAAAAGTTGTCGATAACAACTTTTCTGCGTAGAAAAATTATCGACAACAACCTTTCCGCCTAGAAGGTTGTCGATAACAACTGTTCCGCCAAGAAAATTTGTCGATAACAACTTCCCTTTATAGACAAGTGGTCGAAGTGGTCTTTCCTGTAGAAAAGTTGTCCATAACAACTTTTATCTATAGAAAAAATGTCGATAACAACTTTTCCGCCTAGAAAAGTGTTCGATAGCAAGTTTTCTGTATAGAAAAGTTGTCGATAGCAATTTTTCTGTATAGAAAATTTTTCGATAGCAACTTTTCTGCATAGAAAAGTTGTCGATAACAACTTTTCTGTATAGAAAAGTTATCGATAACAACTTTTCTGTATAGATAAGTGGTCGATAACAACTTTTCTGTATAGATAAGTGGTCGATAACAACTTTTCTGTATAGGTAAGTGGTCGATAACAACTTTTTTGTATAGATAAGTGGTCGATAACAATTTTTCTGTATAGAAAAGTTTTCGATAGCAACTTTTCTGCATAGAAAAGTTGTCGATAACAACTCTTCTGCATAGAAAAGTTGTCGATAACAACTTTTCTCTATAGAAAAGTGGTCGATAACAACTTTTCTGTATAGAAAAGTGGTCGATAACAACTTTTCTGTATAGAAAAGTGGTCGATAACAACTTTTCAGTGTAGAAAAGTGGTCGATAACAACTTTTCAGTGTAGAAAAGTTGTCGATAACAACTTTTCTCTATAGAAAAGTTGTCGATAACAACTTTTCTCTATAGAAAAGTTGTCGATAACAACTTTTCTCTATAGAAAAGTTGTCGATAACAACTTTTCTCTATAGAAAAGTTGTCGATAACAACTTTTCTCTATAGAAAAGTGGTCGATAACAACTTTTCTGTATAGAAAAGTGGTCGATAACAACTTTTCTGTATAGAAAAGTTGTCGATAACAACTTTTCCGCCTCGAAAAGTTGTCGATAACAACTTTTCCGCCTCGAAAAGTTGTCGATAACAACTTTTCCGCCTCGAAAAGTTGTCGATAACAACTTTTCCGCCTAGAAAAGTTGTCGATAACAACTTTTCCGCCTAGAAAAGTTGTCGATAACAACTTTTCCGCCTAGAAAAGTTGTCGATAACAATTTTTCTGCATAGGAAAGTTGTCGATAACAATTTTTCTGCATAGGAAAGTTGTCGACAACAATTTTTCTGCATAGGAAAGTTGTCGATAACAATTTTTCTGCATAGGAAAGTTGTCGATAACAACTTTTCGTTGTAGAAAAGTTGTCGATAACAACTTTTCGTTGTAGAAAAGTTGTCGATAACAACTTTTCATTGCAGAAAAGTTGTCGATAACAACTTTTCGTTGTAGAAAAGTTGTCGATAACAACTTTTCGTTGTAGAAAAGTTGTCGATAACAGCTTTTGGTGTAGAAAAGTTGTCGATAACAACTTTTCTCCCTGCAAACAGAATTTGCTATCGAAAATAGAAGTTTAGTCTGCAAAATGTTAAATATTGGAATATGAAATAAACGACAGGGGATTTTTCGGATATGTGTTCTCTAAAATCTAAATTAGTTTTCCATTTTATATTTCTTACGAAGAGAGTCTTTAAAAAAGTTCACACATTATTAGTTTCTAAAAAAATGTTTTCTCTTGTTGACGTTTTTTTTTTTTTAATTTTTCTTATATTGAAGCTAAGTGGTTTTTAGAAAAAAAGTTTGATATTCATTTAAATTTTGATTACTTTTATTCCTTATGTGGGTTGTGTTGGTTGGTTTGGGTTAGTTCTTATGGTGTTTCCTTGTTTGCATGATTTTCTTCTTGTTCTTCTTCGTTCGGTTTTGCCTTGGCTTGAATTGCAAGTGAATTCAAATGAGTTAACTTGACTGCTCTTCTAACCTCTCTCTTTCTTTCTCTCTCACGAGTTTCTTAAATTTATTCATATGTTATGGAAACATTCGATTTTGGTGTTGGCAATGGTGATGTGGTGTTCTCTTCCTCTTCGTCGTTTTCTTGAGAGTCCTCCGGCTCGCCCAAGGCATGAACAAATTCATAGAAATCAATACGGCCATCACCGTCAACATCGACTTCCTTAATCATGTCTTCAACTGTGTGGGTGGTGGTGGGAAGAGAAATTAAAAATATGCAAAAATAAAAACAAAATAAAAACAAAACTTTATTAGTTAAAGTTTGATAAAAAAAAAAACTTTATGGATATTTTCATAACCTGCAAGGTCAAGAATATGCTAAATATTTTATTGGCTTTGCAAAACAAAGGGTAAACATTTTATGGTTGACAAGTTTTTTCTCTTTTACTTACTTTCTTCTTCATCTAAATCCTCTCCCAGACACTGCAATACAGCCCTTAAATCCGATGCCGTTATGTAGCCACGATTATGTTTGTCGAACACACGAAAGGCATCACGCAACTCACGTTCTTCTTGATCGGCCGATGAGAGACCAGACTTATCTTCATAGGCCATATTCGAGAGAATATCCACAAACTCCTCAAAACTAACATTTCCATCGCCTATTTTAAACAAGGTTTTATTAATGGTCGGAAATAAAGCATTCATTTAGTTTCAAAAAAGTAATGGAAGAAAAGATTTTTATAGATACCACAAAAAAAGGAAAAAAGACGTCAGAATTCAAAACCTGACAAACTCATATAAATATTTCTCGCCAATTTATCCAATAATGGGAGCGGTCTTTGAAACTTTTTCTAGTTTTAGAAATTTTTTTCTAACAAGAACTAGTTCACCTAGTTCCCTAGTTCAATTGAGTGCACCCAAACATAAAAGCATGGTACAAGAATATGGGTAGACGCGTCGACACAGCTGCTGGGACAATGAACTGTCAAACCAATTTTCGAATTGAAAATGTTGAATGAAAAATTATTTGAATTTGCAAAAATTGTTGAAAAACGCGGTTTATAACAACCTCCGAATGACGTCGTATAAGAAAACATATAAAAATCTACTTATATTTGAAAAAAAAAAGATTTAATTTTTTTTACATATCAATGCTCCCAGGCGTTGATGCATTTACCTGTATTATTCTGTCATGCATAAATGTTTAATTCTAAAGAGGTTTAAACATTATCAGGTGAGAATACATAAGAGCATTTTTTTCTAATATAAGTCACCGGCTGACTTTTTCGTAAAGGAATTAGGGTGCGCTTGTTTAAAATGTGGGTCAAAATTGAACTAAGTCACCCTAAAACTCCTTTTTTCTTTTACGAGAAAGCCAGTCGATGTCTTATGCCAGTATTCTCGCCACAAGATTTTTTTCTCACACATGTCAGCGTTTTTCTTTTTTGGTAGAAGAATCAAGGCACATTGTTCTATTGACATTTGTTTTCTTGGAAAATTTCTTCATTTCCTTTCAGAAACTTTCATATGGCAACGCTGCAGAACATCAATCAGCTGTTTACAAATTGTTTACGTTTGTGAAAATCAAAATGGATAGCAAAACAAAAAAGAGGTAAGTTTTTAAAGGCTCTATTAGATGATATGTTTTTTACATATGTCATATAAAATTGTCCATATGTAGAAGTTGCAAATAACGTGTGATACATGGATGACATTTCAGTTGTGAAATACATGAGTAAAGCACATACAGGGTGAGATAAAAAAACTGCAACAAAGTCAAACGCCATAATTTTTACATTTTTTTTTTTAATTTTTTTTGAATAATAATTTTTTTAGAATAAGTTTAGATTTGTTGGAATTGGTCACCAATGCCATCAATTATGGCCTTCAAATAGCCAATGAAACCGCGTCACACGCTGCCCGAATGTTGCTCTGCGGTATTTTGGCCCATTTCCGACGAAGCGCTTGCTTTAAATTTTATTGAATGAAAACAAAAAATGTCGGAAATAGCATCAAATTTTAGAATAAGTTTAGATTGGTTCGAATTGGCCACCTTTAGCACGAATTATGGCCTTTAAAGGCCATTGAAACCGTCACACGCTGCCCGAATGTTGCTCTGCGGTATTTTGGTCCATTCCCGGCGAAGCGCTTGCTTGAGGTGATCGACACTTTGGTATTTGATTTAGTGCCAACCTTGCTTTCCAAAATACTCCAGACACAATAGTCCATCGGATTGGTATCCGGAGATTTTGTGGTGGCCATTGTGCGCTGGAAATGAAGGGAGGAACCTCATTGAGTAACCATGCTTGCGTAGCGCGTCATGAGTGCGATGGTGCTGAGTCCTGCTGGAATGTCCAAGGTCTGCAGCCAAAATGTTTGCGTGCCCAAGGCTTTAATATACCCTCCAGAATATTTTTCGCGATAATATTTGGCATTTATTCTGATGCCACTGTCGATTAATATGAACGGAGAGCGATCATCGGCTGTTATGGCGGGTCACACTATCAACATTGCCAGTGCTTTAGTTCTGGTTCTGTTGGCCAACCGAAGGTACACATTTTCAGCTGACCTCTTTGGCAAGTAAATCCGAGCATTTTGTTTGTTACAAACTACTGGACAACAAATGTTTTCTCTGATCGGAGAAAACCAAAATTCGCCAGTTCACCACTTTCCGCCAAGCGGAGCAACTCTTTAGCTCTTTTGAGTCGTCTATTTTCTCTCTGTTGCGGTGTAAGTTCTTGCACTTTTTGGAATTTCAATAGCTTTACCCCGAGCTCATTTTTCAATATTTGCCAAATGGAATATTCCGATATGTTCAGCTCACGAGCCATTTTTCGGTCACGGCGACGTGGGTTTCGATCAAGTCGCTTCATTACTTTTCGAAGCATTTTTGCTGATTTTGCTTTTTCTTCCGTCCACTTCCTTGACGTCGTCGGGCTATGTTACCAGTATCGAGCGGTAACGAGCGATGGTACGAGACACAAAAGATTTATTCACATTTAAATGCTGAAGTGCTCCGACGAAAGCCACTTTTGGTGGTTTTCCAGCCAAATATAAAGAAATCACACCGAATCACGCTTGAATTCCATCACGAATAACTTTTTTTCTGGAAAATTCTCACCAAAATGCATTGGTACGCTTGTAAACAATATAATCAGCTGTCACTGGAATAATTTTAACAGCTGTCGGGCGAGTGGCTTTGAAATGACAGCAGTCTGAAGTTGGTTGCAAGTTTTTTCATCTCACCCTGTATTGTAACTGGACAGTAATTTTAGCAAATATTGCCCATAACAAACGCCGACAGGTATATGTCCTGCCCTCCCTCTGTCATTCTTCTTCGTTACTACTTACCATCAACATCAATTTCCTGCAACATTTCCTGCAGCTCTTCGACACGTGCAAATTGACCCAGCGAACGCATAACCGTACCCAGCTCCTCCTTGGTAATGCAACCGTCGCCATCTTTATCGAAAAGGCGAAATGCTTCTCGAAATTCTGAAAGCGAATAAAATGTAAGGGAAAACATTTAATTGATAACCTAAACAAATAATTAAATTTCTTGCTCTCGAAGGACCAATTTCTATAAAATGCGTAATTTTGGGACATCGAACACATAAAACACTTTTTTTTTGATTGGCTTAAAGGTGAGAGTACATAAAAAGCCTTTTTGACGGCCTTAAGTCATCAGCTGGCTTTTTCGTAGAGGAAAAAAGGAGTTATAGGTTGACTTAGTTCGATTTTCGCCTTACGCTCCTTTATTCGTCAAAAAAGCGTTTTGAGATTGACTCAGTTCGATTTTCGCCTTACGCCCTTTATTAATGAAAAAAGCGTTTTATGTATTCTCACCTTAAGCCAGTCAAAAGGCTTTTTATGTATTTTCACCTTAAGTCATCGCTTGGCTTCTTCTTCGTAAAAGAACTAGTTCAGCAGCTCATCATCAGTGAAGCGCTCAACTGAATTTTGCGCCAGGTTGTTAGTGAACTTAGCAAGCAGAGAGTCGAGTTGATGATGACACTAAAGGTGTGAGCACATAAGCAGCTTAAAGTCTTCGCATGGCATATTTTGTGAAATATCATAAAGGGATGCCAGAGCCGCATTTAAATTCTGCTGTCGTCTCCCTTTATAATTTGACATGAATATGACAAGCTTTGATGCTAAACTGCTTATGTACCGTCACCTTAAATTATTTGGCTTCAGGTTAGAATACATAAAAAGCTTTTTTGACTGGCTTAAGTCATCGACTGGCTTCTTCGTAGAGAACCAAAGGAGTTTTAGGTTGACCTGTTTCGATTTTGGCCCAACGCTCCTTTGTTATTTTACGAAGAAGCCAGCCGATGACATAAACCAGTCAAAAAAGCGTTTTTTGTATTCTCACCTTTACATACCATTTGGTCCTTCGATTGCTTATCTTTTCTTGGTCCCCCAAACTAATGTTGGAAAAGAGAATGTTATTTCCCACTTACCTCGCATTTGACTTTTCGATATTATTCGACCACCGGCCGCCTCATATGATTCATTTGACGGCGTTCGTTGCTTTGAAAATTGACGTGTTTTCGTTTTATGTTTGCTAACCGTTTTAGTCTTTGGTCTACGTTTATTTTGTTCCGTCGAAGACGTCACTTCAAAATCATCGGCGATCTCTTCCACTTCAATGTCATTGCCCTCATTATCGATATCGGCATCGTTGTCGGATTCCGTTGTAACACTCGCTTCATCCTCATCGTCATCATCATATTCCTCAGAATTTTGCGATTCATTGCCATTGTTGTAATTGTATTTGTCCTCAGAAACCATATCCTCGGCATATTCCTCAACCGATGTTACTATGGTGTTGGGTATGTCTCGAAAAGGTCGTCTTGGCCTATGTTCCCCAGTGCCATCAGCTGCGCCGCCTCGACGTCGTTGACTTGAATTGAAATCACATGATGAATCTGTATCGGGATCTGATGCAGTCCTGGGTGTTCGTTGATATCTACTACTCTGTCTAGTGCTGCTGCCGCTATCCAATTCCGATTTATTATTGGTCGAATCGAAATTCGTTGGGGTTTTCTTTCTATGTCGCGGCGAACGTCGCCGTCGTCCCTTTGTTGGCGTTGTCATTGTGTCTGAAGTTTCTAGCGGCAATGTTTGCGGTGTTGCCATCACCGCCATCGAGGTGCTCTGTGCATTTTGTGAGTTTGAATTTGGCAATACTTCAGGGTTCTCTGCTGTCGCCTGTTGTTGTAGACTACTGTTTGCGCCGGCACTGGCGCCCGGAGTCAACTGTTCAACATTTGTCAATACTTCAGAAGTGTCGTCGACACTTACAGATGTATTACGTGTCTGCAATGGAAGTAAGTATGCATTTTGTGATAAGGTAATAAAGGCAAAGGTGAGAATACATAAAACGTTTTTTTTTTTTGAGTGGCTTAGGTCATCGGCTGACTTCTTCGGAAAAGATCAAAGAGGTAAAGGGCCAAAATCAAACTAAATCAACCTAAAACTCCATTGTTCCTCGACGAAGAAGCCAGCTGATGACTTAAGCCAGTCAGAAAAGGCTCTTGTGTACTCCTATATAAGTACTTATAGGGTAGAATCACATAGAATAAAGATGTAGATATATAAAAGGGTTTATGTTCGGGTATAAGTACTCGACTGCCGCCTTTTTAAAAAAATAAAGAAGGTTTGTTTTCACTTAGTTCAATATCGACCTTGCTCACCCTACAGATATGACTTGACAGATTCAAAATATTGTTTACAAGCGTACAAAAGCATTTTGCTGAGAATTTTCCGGAAAAAAAGTTATTCGTGATGGAATTCAGGCGGGATAGAGTGATTTCTTTATATTTGGCTGGAGAACCGCCAAAAGTGTCTATCGTTAAAGCACTCCAGCATCTAAAAATGTGAATAAATCTTTGTGTCTCGTTACCATCGCTCGTTACCGTGATTCTGGTAGCGTAGCCCGACGACGTCAAGGAAGTGGAGGAAAGAAAACAGAAACCCGCGTCCCAGTGGCCGAAAAATGTCTCATGACCTGAACACATCACAATATTCCATTCGGCAAATATTAAAAAAATGAGTTCGGGGTAAAGCCATTGAAATTGCAAAAAAGTGCAAGAACTTACACCGCAACAGAAAGAAAATAGACGACTCAAAAGAGCTAAAGAGTTGCTTCGCTTGGCCGAAAGTGGTGAAGTGGCGAATTTGGTTTTCTCCGATGAGAAAACATTTGTTGTCCAGCAGTGTTTACTTGCCAAAGAGGCCAGTTGAAAATTTGCCTCTTCGGTTGCCCACCAGAACTCAAGCGCCGACCATGGTGATGGTGTGGGCCGCCACAACAGCCGATGGTCAATCTCCGCTCGTATTCATCGACCGTGGCATCAGAATAAATGCCGAATGTTGCTGCGAAAATATTCTGGAGGGTGTATTAAAGCCTTACGCACCCAAAAATGTTGGCCGCAGACTTCGGACATTCCAGCAGGACTCGCACACCATCGCACTCAGCACGTGCCACCCAAGAATGGTTACTAAATGAGGTGTCCCTCGCTTCATTTCCAGCGCCCAATGGCCATCACAAAATCTCCGGATACCAATCCGTTGGACTCTTGTGTGTCTGGAGTATTTTGGAAAGCAAGGTTGGTACTAAAATATACCAAAGTGTCGATCACCTCAAGCAAGCGCTTCGTCGGGAATGGGCCAAAATACTGCAGAGCAACATTCGGGCAGCATGTGACGCGGTTTCATTGGCCGTTTGAAGGGCATAATTCATGCCAACGCTGACCAATTCGAACATATCTAAACTTATTTTAAAATTTGATGCTTTGTCCGAAATTTGTTGCTTTCATTCAATGAAATTAAAAGCAAGCGCTTCGCCGGGAATGGGTCATAAAATACCGCAGAGCAACATTTGGGCAGCATGTGACGCGGTTTCATTGGCCATTTGAAGGTCATAATTCGTGCCAAAGGTTACCAATTCGAAAAAATCTAACCTCAATCTAAAATTTGATGCTATTTCTGATATTTTTTGCTTTCAATAAAAATTTAAAAAAAAAATGCAAAAATTATGTCTTTAGACTTTTTTGTATTTTTTTTTATCTCACTCTGTATTTTCAGGTACACACATTGACAGTGTAACCAAGTTGGCTTAGTCGATTTTTATGATCTTTATTTATGATTACCCAAAATAAACACGAACAATAAATACTCCAAATCATCGCAGAAAAAAATACAGGTAGATGCATCAACGCTTTGATATGTCAAAAAAATTAATTTTTTTTTTCAAATATAAGTCGATTTTTATATGTTTTCTTATACAAGGTCATTCGGAGGTTATTATAATTAGTGTTTTTCAACAATTTTTACAAATTCAAATAAATTTTCATTCATCATTTTCAATTCCAAAAATTGGTTTGACAGTTCATTGTCCCAACAGCTGTGTCGATGCGTCTACCTGTATTCTTCAACCATGCTCTAAATGCATTCTAAAGCTGGAAATACATAAAGCGCTTATCTGGCTGGCTTAAGTCATCGGCTGGCTTCTTCGGAAATGAACAAAGGAGCCCAGGGCCAAAATCGAACTAGGTCAACCTAAAACTCCTTTTTTCATCTACGAAGAAGCCAGCCGATGACTTAAGCCCGCCAAATATGCTCTTTATGTATTTCCAGCCTAAGAATTTCTCTACTTGGTATATGGTCCTTGGTCCCTCTACGAAAAAGCCAGTAAAAAATGTACCTTTTATGTACTGTCACCTTTACTCTGTTCTCATTGCCTTTTACCTTTCATGTTCACCAAATGGAACTCAATATTTATAGGTTATAAATTGCCCACTTTAATACTCACCATTAGATGTTTGATTTCCCTGGCAAATGTTGAACCAGTGAAAAAATTATTAACTGCTGAAAAAAGCCGTTTTCCTTCCAACTTGGCGGTCTAAATGGTATTTCGTTGGCTGATAATGAAGTGTCCACTGCACTGGAATGACGTTTCAACTTTAATGCAATTACCCAAACAGATGACAACGACAACTGCAATGACAGTATGAGGATTTTCGCTCTCTGAACTTGTTGACAGTGAACTCACTGTTAGTGGAGCAGGTGGAGAGGCAGGCACACAAATCCGTTAAATAAATTTGGTTTTTTTTTTCACGAAAAAACGCCGCTCATCAACCACCAACCACTTGATTGTCAATATAAATATTTAACTAATTGTCAATGCAGTGCTTCAACATGTGTCTATGGCCATGTACTCTCTCTGCTTTTTCTTCGTCTCTTTGGCGCTCACAACCAATTGGAGCTGTGTGTGTTGTGTTTGTATTTGTACCGTTAATAGTTTTTGTAAAGCTGCTGCTGTTGTTGTTGCTGTGCATTGCTGCCGTTCAATGTGTCATTCAATTTTCATTACTTTTTTAACCGAATTTCAAAACGGAAAATTTATGCAAGGACATACATATGGTTGTGGGTGGGTGTGGGTGTGTGTGTGTGGTATGCCTTAACCACATTCACACGGATAGTGTGAATGTATGTTAACTTTGATGTCGTATTAAAAATTTAATTGAATTCCAATTTCACATTTACAAAATTGGTTTTGTAGCTTAACATTGGCTTGGCATGGTTTTCTGCAGTTCCTGCGTTCGTTCGTTCATTCGTTGGTTTCGTATAGCTGGATTGTATATATGTTTCTCCCAGGTGGAGGTGTCCCAAAAACCATTGACTTCTTCAATTTAGGATTTGCATATTTTGATTGATTTTACTTCCGTTGCTCATGGGATTTTTTCTGAAAAGGAATGGAATTTGGAAAAAAATCGAATTTAATGAAGAATAGTAGATATTTATTTTTAATAAAATTTAATAATGTGGACAGGAGATTGAAGGAGTAGAAGAGTTTTTGGGTATGATAAATCTGTTATTACATTCCTGGTTCACATAGGGAGCATTTTAAGGTGTGATATTGAAGTTTTCACATGTGGAGAGTTTTAAAGGAAAAAAAATATTTTTTTGGGAATTTAGAGTTATTTTTTTATAAATTAAGTATTTTTTATAAATAATTTTTATTAATTAGAGGTAATTTTTTCATAAATTAAGTTTTTTCTATAAATACTTCTATAAATTAAGTTTTTTCTTTCATAAAACTATTCGCATAAAGATAAAATCAAGCCTTCGTTGCTTGTCGCATTGCCAAACAAACAACCATCACATGGAGGCAGCGTTGCCATCAACCTGAAAAGTAATGCTATGCTATACAGGGATATGTAGCTCGATTTTTTATTCAACAATTAAAAGCTGAATTCGCCCTATTGCTATTGAAATGTAAAAGCCCTCAATGTGGGAAATGTAATAGTGAATAAAAATTGACTTTGTCACCACTGCTTTTTATACCCTCCACCATTCTATGGAGGGTATATAAGCTTTGTCATTCCGTTTGTACAACCTCGAAATATACATTTTAGACCCAAAAAAGAAATTATATTCATAATCAGTCATGGTAAAAGAATATAGGTAGATGCATCGACACAGCTGCTGGGACAATGAACTGTCAAACCAGTTTTGGAATAAAAAATGTTGAATGAAAAATTATTTAAATTTGTAAAAATTGTTGAAAAAATGCGAATTTTAATAACCTCCGAATGACGACGGAAAAATTTAAAAATCTACTTTTTTTTGAATAACATTTTTTTTTTTATACCCTCCACCATACTATGGAGGGTATATTAATTTTGTCATTCCGTTTGTAACTCCTCGAAATATTCATGTCAGACCCAACAAAGTATATATATTCTTGATCAGCGTAAAATTCTAAGACGATTTAGCCATGTCCGTCTGTCTGTCTGTGTGTCTGTCTGTCCGTCTGTCTGTCTGTCTGTCTGTCTGTCTGTTGTAATCACGCTATCTTTCGAACAAATTGAGATAGAAGGCTAAAATTTTGCACACATGTATTTTTTTCCAGTAGGCAGGTTAAGTTCGTAAATGGGCCATGTAGGTCCAAGTTATCATATAGCCCCCATATAACGGTACCTCCCGATATTCGGTATTTTGATGATTTTAGCGACATTATTCACCGGAATTATTTCAAATTTGGCATTTGAAGTTTGTAATGGATGCTACAGCCTAAGACAGAAAATTATCTCTGCAGGTCCACGTCTTCCTGTAGCCCCCATATAACGGTACCCCCCGATATTCGGCTTTTTGATGATTTTAGAGACATTGTTTACCGGAATTGTTTCAAATTTGGTATTTGAAATTCGTAATGGATACTACATCCTAAATCAAAAAATGAACCATGTAGGCCCACGTCTTCATATAGCCCCCATATAACGGTACCCCCAGATATTCGGTATTTTGATGATTTTAGCGACATTGTTTACCGGAATCGTTTCAAATTTGATATTTGAAGTTCGTAATGGATACTTCATCCACAGTCAAAGAATGAGCCATGTAGGTCCACGTCTTCATATAGCCCCCATATAACGGTACCCCCAGATATTCGGTATTTTAATGATTTTAGCGACGTTATTTACAGGGATTGTTTCAAATTTTGTATGTGAAGTTCGTAATGGATACTTCAGCCCATGCCAGAAAATTGTCTGTGCAGGTCCACGTCTTCGTATAGCCCCCATATAACGATACCCCCCATATTCGGTATTTTGACGATTTTAGCTACATTATAAACAGATTTTTCTTCAAGTTTCGCATTTAAATATTGTAATAATTTATGACAAAAGTTGCCTATGCAGGCCCACGTCGTCGTATAAACATTCGGTATTTTTAAGATTTTAACAGAATTAACGGGTTTTATTCTTTGGAAATTGCCAAATTTGTACCAAATGGTGGAGGGTATTAAAAGTTCGGCCCGGCCGAACTTATAGCTTTTTTACTTGTTTTGATATATCAATGCTCCCAAGCGTTGATGCATCTACCTGTATTCTTCTGCCATGTAATCAGCAAAAAATTCCAAGACGATTTAGCTATGTCCGTCCGTCCATCCGTCTCTGGAAATCACTCTGGCTTCCGAACGAATTGAAGTAGATTGATAAAATTTTACTCAAATGTATATTAGGTCTGCAGAACTTTTGGTATTGAAATTGGGCCATGTAGGTCCACGTTTACGTATAGCCCCCATATAACGGTACCACCCGATATTCGGTATTTTGATGATTTGAGCTACATTATTCACCGAAATTTTTTCAAATTTGATATTTGAAGTTCGTAATGAATACTACAGCCTACAACAGAAAATTGTCTGTGCAGGTCCAGGTCTTCATATAGCCCACAGATAACGGTACCTCCCGATATTCGGTCTTTTGATGATTTGAGCGACATTATTCACCGAAATTGTTTCAAATTTGGTACTTGAAGTTCGTAATGGATACTATAGCCTACGACAGAAAATTGTCTGTGTAGGTCCACGTCTTCGTATAGCCCTCATATAACGGCACCTTCCAATATTCGGTATTTCGATGTTTTATTCATCGGAGTTGTTTCAAATTTGGTATTTGATGTTCATAATGGATGCTATAGCCTATCACAGAAAATTGTCCGTGTAGGTCCACGTCTTTGTATAGCCCCCATATAACGTTACCTCCCCATATTCGGTAGTTTGATGATTTTAGCGACAATTTTCTGTGCCAGCTTCCATATAACGGTACCTCCCTGTATTCGATTTTAGCTAAATTATTCACCGATGTATAAATTCTTATGACAAAAGTTGCCTGTGCAGGTCAACGTCGTCGTATAGACCCTAATATAACGGCTACATTCGGTATTTTTAAGATTTTTAACGGATTTTATTTTTTTTTGAAAATTGCCAAAATCGTTCCAAATGGTGGAGGGTATTCAAAGATCGGTTCGGCCGAACTTACAGCTTTTTTTACTTATTTTATCATTAATATTATAGTTTTTTGTATGATTAACCTTCTAAGAGGCCAACTTAAAGGTGAGAATACATAAAACATAAAAGGTTGGCACTAAACCAAATACGAAAATGTCGATCACCTTAAGCAAGCGCTTCGCTGTGACGGTTTCATTGGCCGTTTGAAGGCCATAATTCGTGCCAAAGGTTACCAATTCGAACAAATTTAAATTTATTTTAAAATTTGATACTATTTCCGACATTTTTTGCTTTCATTCGATAAAATTTATCTCACCCTGTATATACCTAACATTTTTGTTCAAAACTTTAAATCTACCCCTCAATTATCCACTGAGAAATGATAATCTCATTTCACAGTTTTAATCTGATGCTCAGCATCACCGCACAACTACACTTCATTTGTCGTTTAATAATTTAAAAATCAATTAGGAAAATATTGAACGCTTTTACTCGGCACTCGGCGATTGGCTACATTTTTAATGAATCAATATGGTGTTCTTATGGTCATTCAGAGCCGTTTCCTACTTTGTAGCATGGGTGATGATGCTGATAATAATTATGAAAGACGTCTTTTGGCCTTGCCTCCAGCAATAATGTATCGTTTAAGGGCAACTAAATGAAGTGCTGACGATAAATGACACTTTACACAACACACACACACACACGCACACACCAAATATAAACAGTAATAAAGTTGACAGTTTATGTCCGTCCATCCTTAAGGAAAATTGCCTGTTATCATCTTAATTAATTTTTGGTTGCATGTCATTTTCAGATGAATGAAAGGTAAATGAGTGCGTAGCTAGTTTAAACCCAAAGCAAATGATATCTAAATTAACATTTTCATGAGATTAGATTTAGATTTATTTTATTGCGACTTTTTTTTTTTTTGCTATAAACAGTAATGAAGAGAATTCATAAAAAAATATTGCGTATTATTTTAATATCATTGTGAATGGAATGTGCGAATTGCTTGCAATCATGGTAGAAAAATACAGGTAGATGCATCAACGCTTGGGAGCATTGATATGTCAAAAAATGTTTTTTTTTTCAAATATAAGTAGATTTTAGGATAAGTAGATTTAGAGGATATTATAATACTCGTTTTTCAACAATTTTTACAGATTTGAATAATTTTTCATTCAATATTTTCAATTCCAAATTTGGTTTGACAGTTCATTGTACCAGCAGCTGTGTCAATGCGACTACCTGTATTCTTCTGCCATGGATAATTCTTAAAAATATTGTGAATTATTTTAATATCATTGTGAATGGAATATGCGAATTGCTTGCAATAAACTGAACCGTTCGCATAACCGAAAATCTTGTTCAGCTTGCCAGCAAAATCAAGAAAATACCCAAAATGTGTGGACATATTTGAAACGCGTTCCGTCTGATAGCGCCTTAACTTGTGTCTATCCTTGGTATAGTGATTTGACAGCATGGTAGAAGAATACAGGAACATTGTTATGTCAAAAATTTTTAAATATAAGTAGATTTTTATATGTTTTCTTATACGATGTCATTGGGAGGATATTATAATACTCGTTTTTTCAACAATTTTTACAAATTTAAATAATTTTGCATTCAACATTTTCAATTCCAAATTTGGTTTGACAGTACATTGTCCCAGCAGCTGTGTCGATGCGTCTACATATATTCTTCTAACATGGGTTCAAGTCATTGCCTTTTTAAAAGAAGAAAAGAGTTTTATTTTTACTTAGTTCAATATCGACCTTGTTCACCCTAAAGCTGGCTTCTTGCAACGACACATGGCAGAAGAATACAGGTAGATGCATCAACGCTTGGGAGCATTTATATGTCAAAAAAATTTAAACGTTTTTCAAATATAAGTAGATTTTTATATGTTTTATTATACGACATCATTCGGAGGTTATTATAATCCG